AGGCAAAACTTAGTGATGGAGCCCCCATGGTCAGGAAACAAGGACCCCCCGCCGCGCCCTCCACCTCCCCTTCCTGCCCCCGCGGCGCTATGACGCCGCCTCCCCTTCCCTGCGCCCCGCAGCTCTCACTTACAGTAGTGCCCCTGCTCAAACCCACCCCCCCACCGCCGGCCAGGTCTGCGCTCCAGTCGCAGGGCACTTCCTACCTAAGAGCCGGCCTGCTGCCCCTCCTGCTTCTGCCACTCCGTCTCCGCCTCGCGGGGGAAAGAAACTACTAAATAAAGTTGCGGACCAAGGGAGCCTTGGGTGGGATTTTCCCTAGACTACAAGGAACGCCTCTTACCTAGCTGCCTCCCCGCCCCCTGCTTACCGCGAAGTTCCAGGCCTCCGCCCCCAACTCGGCCCGCCTCTCCCCGCAGCTCGGGTGACCCTGATCCCTGGCTCGCGACCACAGTGGAGAACGCGGACCCTGCCGCCGACCTGGATCCTCTGCTCTGCTCTGCGCTTCCGGCTGGTACGAACAGCGCTCGGCGCTTCTCTCTGCGCCCCCTCGGCCTGGCGGGTGCCTGGTGCCAAAGAGACCTGGGGTCCTCAGGGCTGCAGGGCTTTCTCTTACTCGGTTTCTCACAGCTCTCAGCGGATTGGACGGCGGAGGAGACTGCTCCGGTCGCCTATGCGCATGCGACTCCTCCCCCACCCCCGCCCCCGCCAGCCAGACCCCCGTGTACTCCCCCAACGCCACCACCGACAGACACTCCTCTCCACCCTCTTTTCTCTTCCTCCGGATCTTCCTCTTCCTCCTCCCTGTCTCCTGTTCAGTGTGAGTTGGGTCTTGGGCGCATCCACTGGCAAACGCTGCCACTTCATTAGCCGCAATCAAAGGAGGAAGGGGTAACTGACGGAGAGGCAGGGCCAGAGATCACAGAGCGCATGTGCTGCAGAATATCCCCCCCCCACACACACACACACTAATAAACACACACACACGCCCTCAGGGGCTGGCACAAGCCCCACTTATCTTCATTTCCACAGCCGCTCGGTGCAGAGAGCCTATTTTTAGCCAACACTTTGCTCTCACTTTTGTCCCATCGTGGACCACTTTTCTTAGAAGTGGACACACACTCTTAGTTCCATTTGTAAAAGAAGCAGACACAACCTCTCCTACACACACACTCACCGCCTTCCTGTCCTCCCCGCTCCGGTCTTCTCTCCACTTTCCTCTGTGCTGGGGCTGCTGTCACCTCCCCGGAGCGCGGGAGGAGCCGGGTACAAGCGAGGGTGGAAGGCCCTAAGACCGGGACGCTGGAGCCCGCCGGTGGCCCGACCCGGACGGGGATGGCTGGAAGCAGGTGCAGGCACACGGTGCCTGGGGAAGGCGAGCAGGTGCGAGAGCAGGCGGCAGGCCTGAGAGGCGCCGGCGCGCGCTGGGACGAAACAGAGTGGGAACGAGCGTGGCGAAGGGCGACCCTCGAGTGGTCAGCGCCTGGAAGCCCCGCGGCGGCGGCAAGTAGGGGGTCTCTCGTTCACCCATGACCCCTGCGGGGCGAGATGGCTGGTTCAAGTCGGGAGCTCAGTCCTCGGGAGTCGCCAGAGTACTAGGAAGGCTGCAGCAAACGGCGCGCGACGGGCTCTGTCCATGGTGCTTAACCCCCCTTCAACCCCGGGGCTTGCCTTCCGCCTCCCCTATGTGGAGGAAAATAATAAATAGCAGCCGAAGGGAATTCCTACCAGCCGTGTGCCTGAGCAGAAGCCCGCAGAAGCCTGGACTCGGGACTGGAGAGGGGGTGTGTTGACATGAATGAATGTGTCTCGTGCCGGTCGGTTCAAGTAAATGCTTAGGTGTTTAATTTCTACCTCAACAACAGCCAGGGTAATTTCAAGGAAATAAAAAAATGACATTGCACAGCTCTCACTGTCTCAAGATTCGAGAAATAAAATAAATCAAAGTTAAAGGCTTGGCATCATTTAATTATAGTGCGAATAGCGCTTTGAAAGAAGTAGAACGACATCTCTAAACAAATTATGACTGAGCCAGGAAGGAATTATTAGATTGAAATTTCATTTAGGCTCGGGAGACACCGCGCTTCACTGTGTAATCTGCTATGCCTCATCTGATTTGTATGCTTAATTCAGCTTGACGAATTTATTAGTTTTCATAATAGTGAAAAACTTGAGCAGTACTATAGGCTAATGCATTGTGTGTACTATAAATTGTATGTCATCGTGGAGAGGCTGAAGTCTATAGAAATCTTTTATTAACGTCGGTAGAGGAGGGAGGATTTTCGTGCAAACCTTGGAGAGGTTCACGCCAAACTCCAGTGTTGCTGGGTCTCACTGGTCCATTAACATATCGTCATACTAATTAGACTACATCAGTGATATAATTTCAAACTTCAAATTATGTTCTAATTAACAAGCGTTGTCCAATCTGCTTAATCTCCAAAAGGCTTTGGATGGTCTAATTAGTATAAACTGTTGAGCATCTCTAATGCCTAAAAAAAAATCCATTAAAATATTTTCGGTATGTATTCTATCAATACTGTGTAAGAACCAAAGGGCTAAAAGTGGGAGTGGAGGAGGAAAATAACTGGAGGGCAAAGGTCTGCATCTACCAGTTCCCCCAGATTATAATACTAAGTGAATCACGGGAGAAACTTTTGGGTTTTGCACCTCCTAAACAGTGTGCTTATGTGTTTAAATAAAGGCATAAGAATATCAAGGAGAAAAAAAACCACAAGGGGAAAAAATTCTTCTCTTTCATTAGGTGCCTAATTAGATGTAAAGTGAAAAGCAACCCTGAGGAGTTTCCCAAGCATTATTGTGGCAACAGTCAGCTGAACTTGGATTGCAAAATCAAATATTGGGGGGTGTTTTGAACCTCTCCCTCTCCCCTCCCCCTTCATTGAGCTTAATTACTTGCAATAGTTGTTTTAATGTATGTTGTCACCTGGGAGTATTGAGAAATGCATGTCGTTAATATGAATTAATCTTGATTTTAATAGCAACTGACAACTGATCTCCAAAATGCTAAACACTTGTCACCACTTCATATGGTAAATAAGGTAGTAAAATAAATTCATGAAATAAAGAGGGTACTGTTGAAATGACTGGACAAACTTTGTTTGATGTGGAATTTAGTGATTAAAACTATTTTAAGCAGGACAACTCCCAAGAGAATATTTTCCTGGTGGCTAAAATCAATATATCATTAAATTAATTCAATATAACTTTGAAAAATCTTTCAGCTACTTCTCAGCGATATCTCTAATTCCAGACAGAAGAAAGGAAGCCCTTTATTCTAATTATCAAGGTGAGATAAATTAATGTGCAGTTGTAGAGCAAGTCAAGAATTTATTTCCCCGTATTCACTTCCTCTTAGAAAACATACATTGTTTTCAAAAAGAGGTCGGAGTTAGATTTCTCCTTTTCTTACCCAAAGTGAAAAGTGAATAGCAGTGATTGTGTTGTATTAGAGTGAAAATGCAATTCTTCTTTCATCACCACGACTTGCCATCTTGCAATCTCTTCTACCAGAAGTGCTCAGAATACCAACGTCTTTGCGGTGATATCAATAAAACCCATTTCGGTTTTGTCCACAGGCGATGTTGAGAAGTGCTCCAGCAAGCGTGGAAGCTGCTCTCTGAGGAAGTAAAACTCCAGCCCCTCAGGTAGCAGAAACCATCGAAACAACCGAAAGTTGGGAATAAACCCAAAGGGTGGCAACGAATGGCCCAACATTGGAAATCTGCTTCACATAACCTCAACATACACTTTTATGTCCCAGCACCTGTCTGCGCTGGCACCTATGCACACCCTCAGATCTACCTAATAAACCAAAAACAGAGAAGTGATTTTATTTTTTTTAAGTAGAGAAATGGAAAATGAATCAACTGTGTGACTACACGAGGGGCGCCTTTTCTTCTCGCCAAGCCTCTTTGTTTGACAACAGATTCTGTCCCACCCGCTGCCTGATGTGGATAGACATGACCAGCTTCCCATCGGACGGGCGAGGAATCGCTTGAGGTTCCACCCAAGCTCCCGGGCAGCGGGGTCCCTGCAGAAGGTGCCCCCCACGCCCCGAAATCGGCCCAAAGCCATCCTGAGGGGAGAAATCACTGTCTCCTCTCCTGTATCTGGGACCTAATTTAGTACTAAAATTTTAAGCAGTGCATTCATATTTTACTGGACCTAATGTGTTTTATTAAATTTCAATCCATTAAGGGCAGTGTGATTTCTCTGTATTTCAAACAGAACTGAGTTGGATTACAAGGAAGATTTCTTACAAGAGAGATCTGACCCTATTCATGCACCATCTCCATCTCGGGTAAAGAGGGTTTGAGGGAGGAAAGAGGGAAAGGATGGATTCTCCCCCATCCCATCTCCTCAAGGTCAGTCGTCTCTGGATTCTGAATAGAGTCAGATCCTCTGAGCTCTCTCTGCACTCTGTAGCTTGGGGCAGAAGGTTATGGGGTGATTAAACTCCTCCACGGCCTCAGCGGTACCAAGAAAGAAAAAAAGGAGGGAATTATCCCTGAAATTGAGACCTCTGGGAGCGCCCAGAGAGCCTGGTACAGAGCAGAGGGCCGGGAAGGAGAGGTCTCCTGGGTTTCTTACGTCCTGGGGCTAAGTTCGGGGAGTATGGGTGCGTTTTGCTCAAACACCTTTCTACTTCCGAGCACGTCCACCTCTGCTCTTGTGTTTGTCTCTAACTTTATCTCTCCACTGGCTCCCCCGTGAGTCCCAAGTCCACCTCGCTTAGAGATTCTAAGGAGCCCCTCTTTCGCCCCAAATTTCCAGGCACCCCCTGTGGCCGAGGGCACAGCCTCGCCTCAGTGCTTTCCTGGCTAACTCT